CTCCTTTTTTTTTTTTTTTTTTTTGTTTTTTTAACAATGAGCGAATTTGAAGTTTATAACTGAAGGGTGCTTGAATCTTGGATTTTTCATTTTTCTTTTGGCTTCGGTTTTTTATAGTTATTGAATGTGTTGAAGATTTGCTCAGAAGAGTGACAATTTACTGTCTTTCTTTTCTCTAATGGTGTGACTCGTTATATGCAGTGTTTAAAAATACAGCTTATAAATTTACTAGTATGCAAAACCCTTAAAGTTGTGTTCAGACTTCCCTATGTTAAATACAGATTAAGATTTGAGTTTATTCCGCTTGGATAAAGGAAAAAATAAAAAATGGAACTCTGAAGTGAATATCTGATTTTTTTTTTTTTTTTAATTGTAATTAATGTTTTCATTAAGTTGCTAAGCTGTTTAAATATTTTGAACTTTGGCATTTAATTGAATTTAAGGATAATTGAATTTGTGGAAAAATAAGTTTTTCTTAGTTAATGCTGATGCATTTGATTCCATACTCACAAAAACATATAAATTCTGCTGTAATTAACTTAAATATGATACTCTTTACAGTTTCACTAAATTACATGGAAGCTTAATATTCATATGATAACCTATTCAATATAAACTTGTCATGTTTTTGGCACTTAGCCTTTTTGTTTCATGCTATTGACCATATATACTGCTGCCTGCTGGTTTGAAGACCGAGAAAAAATATTATTGTCAAGAAATGGTGAAATAAAAAGATGAGCACTAGGAATGAATGCTTGGCATGGAGATGTATTTTTAAAGTAAAAGATTTTAATGATGATAGTGTGAAATTTTCTATTGATAATTCAGCTGTTTGCTCGCTCATGCATGCTTGGTACCATGGACCTCAGTTTTGTTTATTTTGGTCCTTTTGGAATCTGTCTTTTGGCCTATTGCTAATGATCTCCTTTTCGTCCCGTGAGCTGCGTTTAAACCTGTCGCATTCTGTTTCTTCTCTGTTAAGAGACAAGTTTTCATGTTATGAGCTTAGTGTGAAGGCATTATATCATGCAGTATATTTATGTTGGCACTGCAGCGGGTTTTGACCTTTTATTGAGAAATTACATTTTGAATCCTGCCTGACAACCGCAACATGTAAATTGGTGTATTCTTACTTTTTCATTTTCTGAATATGGACTTCGGTCTTGCTTTGTATATCAGCTGATAAATCATCAAGTGTTTGTTTGGGAGAAATCATAGAGATATAATAATTAGAAGGAGTGGTCGGCCCCACGAAATGTTGGGGATAATAAGTTGTAGTATTTGTGCATGTGTGGTTAAATTAATGGTTGACTGCAAATTATAAGGAGATAATAATTTTTTACAAACAAGTGCTGAGGTCTGCTTCACATGAATTTGTCATATACTGGACCTATATTTGCTATTTAAAGTTTCTGGCTATTATGTGATTCTTAATTCAAATTGTTTGTGGCATGTGTTGCTTAGCAATTTCTGTGTATGTTATGCAATTTTGATTTCATTCTTTACGTTAATTCATATATCACTATTACATTACAGTAATCCGGGCCCAGTAAATAGTTTTTGATTGATTTGGATGCGTAGACTTTGTTTGAGTTTCTTTAACAATGCTATGTTCACAGATGGGATCTCTGCTGGACGATGTTGATGGACTGCCAAACTTGGCTGGAAAAAGGTATTTATAGTTTCTCTCTATGCTACAATGTGCACCAGGAAATTGTGAAATAGGTGAGATTCATAACGTGTGCAGGTTTCCCATGGACGAACTTCTTAGGGTGGAAAAGCCTGGGCCAGAGAACAAAGATGGAAGTGATACAGAGGATGATGATGAAGATGAGGATGACGTTGATAATCAGGATGGTGATGATGATGGCGCCGGTGATGAGGACTTATCTGGTGAAGAAGGGGGAGATGAAGACCATGATGATGATGAAGTGGATCCCGAGGCTAATGGCAATGAAGGTAGTGACGATGACGACGAGGATGATGACGACGATGATGGAGATGATGACGAGGATGGTGAGGATGATGATGAAGAAGACGAGGAGGACGAGGACGAGGATCAACCACCTGCAAAGAAGAAGAAATGAAGTAGTAATAGCTGTTTATTCAACTTATTTCTTTCGGTCGAGAGGATGTAATAGGGTGAGGGAGGTTTAGTTGGTCTGTCTTGATAGAATAGGAAATTTGGCCACCCTATTAACCAACTGTTTTTTTTTTTCATTTGACAGATTTATATGTTCCCTTTTATGCAATCATTGGTACTTAACAAATACACCGATATGGAGATTAATTTATTAGCATTATAAGATCTCGTATATTGAAGTTGTCTCTAGTTACGTCTTGTTTGCCTGCGACCAACAACGATTACGACAAATCCACTAGTGGATTTCGATTTATTAAGGTTATTAGCCTTGGAGGATTGAAATTAAGGAGTGAATTTGTTGTACGTGTAGTTGGTGTAAGGCCCACAAGATAAATATAAAAATTGTAAAATTAATTGATTAATTGGTGAATTAAGTTCACCAAAAAGAGGGTGACGAAATGGATTGGGTGGAGCCGTTGATGTTGTAGGTTGTCTATATTTAAGAGCAAATTCTCCTAACATATGTACCTTATCTACAGAGTGGGGACAGAAACGGGCTCGATCCACTCATCAACTTAGCGGATAAGCTCATGAGAGCTCGATCTATAGGTGGCACAAGACTACGTTAAATCGAGCTTAGGCCAAACTAACCCGGGCCTAGTTATGTGGTCGACCACATGTCGATATTTAAATTTTAAAGGAGGTATGAAGAAGAACAATGGCGATAAGATTTTTACGTTGAAATATGAGATTATCGTTAAGTGTCGTGACAAATTTTTTGACATCTCCATAAATGATTTCTCGCTAACAAATAGAATCTGCATAAGAATGACATTTCATGTTTTCTAACAAGGATGGACGCACGAGATGTCGACGTCGGTAAGCTACACGAAAGAAAGATTTCGCTTTTTAAGATACACGCATTAACAGGTAGACCCCACAACACGAAACCCAGCAGTACACTACTGCTTTACTGTACTTATCTTTTTCCTCCAGCTATTCTGCTCTTTTTTACACATTTTCTGAAGAAAAGCATAACAAAAATGGCCCACTGCCAACAAACTTCACATTATTCAATTCATGTGAACCCTAATTCACCAAATCTCGAACCCATTTCCCCGCGTCACTGTCAATGTATGGTTTTAATAAATGTTGATGTTGTAACTAATATTATCTCAAGTAGGCCGCTTGTAACTCATTAAACGTCCTTTTATCTTTGTATTTTTACCATTCTTTCATCCAAATTTCTAAATTTGTATCTTAAATGAATCTGGGCATGTGTTAAAAGAGAGATCTTGAGTATTACTACAAGTATTTGAGATGGGTTCTTTGGTATTTCACTTTGTGTTTAGCTTGTTATTTTGCAGCTTCATTTTTGTGTATGCAGAGGATTTGAAGGCTGCAAATTTAAGTGTTGTTAACACTGTATTTATCGATGGGACGAGTCCCATTGGGAGGACAGACAGTGATTTTATATGTGCAACCATGGACTGGTGGCCGCCGGAGAAATGTGATTATGGGACTTGTAGCTGGGACCGTTCGTCTATGCTTAATTTGGTATATCTCTCTCACACATGCTTTCTTCTTCTATATTTTATGTCTGTGTATAAATGTTAGCTTAGAGACTGAAACACGCCCCTTCACGGGTAGGCGCGGGTTCAAATTTTTCAGCAAAGCCTTACATGTGCATACCTTATTGAACAACTTGATCTAAAAGTTAGAGAAGGACATATTTATACCATTTAAATCTTGTCTTCAACAGATTTCTGCTGATATTCTTGAATTTTTTAAGTCATGAATGTTTTCAGGATTTCAGTTTAGTTCTTGGAAGATACTCTGTTTTTCGTTCTTGGCGGTTACTAAATCATTCTAATGCTTATGGGTATTTTTCGGGTAGATTTAAATTTCATGACTTAGGGGATTTCTATTAACGTACTAAATACTTGTACTAATTCGTTTAATTTGGTTATTTGGTGTTTGTTTCCTAATTCAGTTGACAAGTAGGTTATTTTTTTGTTATCCTTATATATTGATGATTCATTTTTGCAATGTTGGATTTGTTAACATTAATTTAATAAAAATAGATACTTCATAATATTTGTTCGATCTTTCTTGTGTCCAGGATCTTAACAATATCGTTTTCCTGAATGCAATAAAAGGTAAGGATTGTTTCACATATTTATACTGTTTAATTCGAATTGGGCGGCACAAGTAATTTTTTTTTTTTAATAACCTTGTAGCTTTTTCACCACTAAAGATCAGATTGGGTGGCACTTTGCAAGATAAAGTCATCTATCAAACCGAAGACCATTTGCAACCCTGCATTCAATTTGCTAAAAACAAGTCGGAGTTGTTTGGTTTCACCGAGGGATGTCTTCCCTTGTCCAGATGGGATGAATTAAATTCCTTCTTTAATAAATCTGGGTAAAAGCATATCTTTGTCTAAATTCGAATAGGTAAAGAGACATTGGAACTTACAATCGCCTTTGTGAATTCAATTCAGGGCTTTAATTGTTTTTGGATTAAATGCACTGAATGGAAGATCCATACAGTCAGATAATTCTGCCGTGGGAGCTTGGAGTTCCACAAATGCTGCTTCTCTTATCCGTTACACTGTCAAAAAGGGTCATAGCATTTATGGTTGGGAACTTGGTAAGAATTCTTCTGTTCTACGGTTAACGTAGCATGCCTCTTTCATGCATGTCACCGCGTACGCCTTCAATAGAATCTGTGTGAAAATTGTATGGAAACAATGATAATAATCTAACAAACTGTTAGATGTTAATTTTTTTCGCTGATCTCCATTTCTTCGTAGGGAATGAACTGAGTGGAAATGGAGTAGGGGTACGAGTTGCAGCATATCAATATGCATCGGATACAATTGTCTTGCACGACCTAATACAAGACATTTACAAAGGTGTTGATGTCAAACCGAGAATCATAGCACCAGGAGGATTCTATGAACCAAACTGGTTCAAACAATACATAGATAAGGCCGGGGGATCACTGAATGTGGTCACTCATCACATATATAATCTTGGCCCAGGTATTTCAACTAGCAAACATCTGATTTTATTCAGCAGTTGATTATAAATGAATACAAATCTTCTTTTCTTCTTTGTAGGAGTCGATGATCACCTTATCGAAAAGATTCTTGATCCATCTTATCTTGATGGTGAGGCTGATACATTTAGGGGACTCAAGAACATCCTCAGGAGTTCTGCATCTTCAGCAGTTGCATGGGTTGGTGAGTCGGGAGGGGCTTACAACAGTGGCCGCAATCATGTAACAAATGCATTTGTGTTCAGTTTCTGGTAATACCAATGCTAGCTTCCCATGCAACTTTTACGAGTTTTCAATTCTTATACCAGAAGGATATACTTTGTCGGTGCTAAATGACAGGTATCTGGATCAACTCGGGATGTCATCAACTTTTGATACAAAAACATATTGCAGACAGACTTTAATTGGTGGCAACTATGGATTACTTAATACCACGACCTTTGTTCCAAATCCTGATTACTACAGGTTCGTTGAGATAAATTGTTTATTGGCCATATTTTTATTTTACCTTGATTCACTCATGTACAGCACCTAATACTGCTTTTCTTATTGTAGTGCTCTTCTTTGGCACCGATTAATGGGGAGATCTGTTCTGTCAACAAATTTTTCCGGCACGAAGAAGATCCGTGCTTATGCTCATTGTGCAAAGCTATCTGTAAGTTTAATTGAACCTATTTTGTTCAATAAAAAACTGTCTTTCTTTGTATAAATGTGAAAGTATTGTTTAGGTTCGTAATTGGAACTTTTATCTTGCAGCAAGGTATCACTTTATTGCTGATAAATCTAGATGGCAACAATACTCTAGAGGCAATAGTTGACTTTAATGGAACTCTATTGCACCAGCACAAACATGGACATCATAGACATAGATCGAACGTGATTAAGATGCCTCGGGCGAATGAAGCTAGTGGAACAAGAGAAGAATATCACCTAACTGCAATGGATGGAAACATACAAAGCCAGACTATGCTGCTGAACGGGAAGGCATTAACTTTAGATTCATCTGGGGCTATACCTCCTTTGGAACCTATTACAGTATCTTCATCCGAACCTGTAAGAGTAGCTCATTTCTCCATTGTATTTGTTCATATGCCATATGTTGCTCTCCCCGCTTGCAAATAGGGTGGAGAAATCGAGCACTTAAGTCGTCCTGTATATTTTTTTCACCCCATTTTGTGGTTGAGCTAACAAGAATTAGCACGTGTGTTTTTATTAGAAAATAAAGAACAAAGTGAATCTGTGACTATGACATGTAAAAAGGATGGATGTTAGTGTCTAGAGGGTGAATTGATCACGTTTTTAAAGATGACTAATTACATAGAATATCCGTAGGGCTTCGACCCTCTCATGATCTGAGACAGCCTCTTCTTCATAATCAAGCTAGGGCAAGGGATATCTATTCTTGGAGGAAGCGATCTTTAGAGGCATGCACTGGTGTCATAAATCTCCTTTGCCTACCAGATTAAAGGATGGTCTTTGTTGAATACATAAAAATTACACCGTAAAGAATGGCACTAACATTTTCAGATTACAACTGAACATTGTGCGATCCAAGGAAATGAACACTGATCATCCTTGTATATAGGATGTCTTCTCCTCTTCAGGGCTGAAATGATGGTCAACTCTTTTGGTGTATGCACGAGGCCTTCTTTCATGGGCATACACTACCCAAAATATCAGTAGTATCTGTAAGAAAAGTGAGGTCTATCGACTCCACAACAAATGGCATCCCATGTATACAAACCATAGCTTACATTTATCGAGCTCGTCAGTTGTGTGCATGGGCGGACCTGGGGGGTGGCCTGGGGGGCAGGTGC